ATATATAATTGGATATTTGTGAGGTCCAAAGATCTGATTCAATCGTGCTTATCAATTATTTATACTGGGCATGCTTACTCACAAAAATTAGATGAGGAAATCTGGAATATCCCAGAAACTGGACATCCGTGGCTTGAGACATTGTAGGTGACTATATGCATTGGACTGCATTATACTGGTTTATGTAGAAAATTATCTCAGCTGTGGAATAGGATTTTTTCCCATTCAAGTAGTCAACTCTCTTCCTTTTGAGACAGATCCTAATCTGGGTGCTGCCACCAAGAAGCCCTGCTCTTCAACCCCAGATTAAGATGAGTCCTCCAATGGGTCACAAGCAAGGCCTTTCCAGCTGATCTTAGCCATGAGTCAGAGAAGGTGTTTGGTGAGATGATCTCGTAATCATTATGAGTAGCAGTATCAGCATTATTATCCATTACAGTTACTATCTGATTTATTTAAAATACTTTAATCTACAGATGCAATATCTTAATTCAATATCAGAACAACAAAAGCTCTAAAACTTAACCCCTGCGACTGTTTTCCCCCCTTTGCTCTCAGCTGTTGCAAGTAGTTTTGAACTGTCCAAAGTATATTTTCAGAGAACATGGGTTCTTTTAAAAGAAAGGATAGTGAAGCAATAAAATGGGATTTAAAGAATCCAGGATAGGCACAAAGGTCCCATACCTTGTAAAACTGTCCTCGCCAAAGGATAGGTCTCTTCGGGGGCTCTTGGTTTTGTGGCAGGCCAATGTCAGCCCATCTTCCAGGATGGTCAGCAAGGGGTGGGCTGTATTTTCATTGAGGGTAAACACAGTTCCTGTAGGAGGAAGTGAAATTCTGATGGTAACTACTCAATCCTATGAATCTGCTTGTACTTGCTTGCTGCTCCATGTGCTTGGAAGCTCCTCTTGGAACATCTACAGAGTACCACCTCCCTCATCCAAGCCAACATTTTCAATAAAGCTTTTAGTACCTACTCAGGGCATTTCATTGCAACATCTTAGCCAAAGCATGTCTACCCAATGCCCTCATTGGCTTCCCTTTTTTTCTCCTTCCTCTATGACATCTCTGGGTAGTTCCACGCACATAGGTGATGCTATATAAATCATCAAATTGATTATAACATTGACCCAACTTAAAACAACCAAGGGTTGGATGAAGAATACCATTTTAACTTTCACCACCTCATCTTCAGACTGCAAAAGAGTGGGTGATTTTATTCCAAAGTTAACCATTTTTGGAAGGGGGTGGTGGAAAATGGAGGTGTATGTGAGACTGCTCCCCATTTTCTTTCTTCTATGTGAGCAGCATTTGATTCCCTTCAAAGGAATCCCACCATTATAATTCAAGCAAACTACTATTTCCCCACAGCATCTATGGAATAATACCATATCACCATGTAGTTTCCCAAAAAAGGGGGAGAAAAGAAAAAATGGGCACCCCAGGTGCCAGTTTTCCCCATTTATAGGGACTTAGTAAGACTGGCTGGGGAATTCTGGGAGTTGAAGTCCACTCATCTTAAAGTGGCCAAGTTTGGACAACACTGGAGTACAGTATTAAATTCAACATGGAAACCATTTCTGGACTATATTTCTTTAAACTGGCTTGTACTGTATCCAAACTTTATTTTGTTCTTAACAGAAAGTTTTTAAATTTAAGCTTGTCATGATCGTTTAATAAGGATTGAATTTTCAGATTGGACAGACACTATCACAATCTTTTATCTTGACTTATAATTCATAACTTATTTTATACTGGTTACTCTCATTGCTTATTAAGTATTAATTCAATTTGAATATAGATTTAAAGTTTTAAACTGGTGTAAGATAGTCTAACAGGGAGAGCTGAATCACAGTTACTTAGAAATGCTTTATCTAATTTTTATCAATATTTGTAACCTCTTCTTATTCCTCTTTTCCCTCTTTTCCCTGTTTTTTTCTTTTTTTCCTCTCTGATCATTTTTGGAAATGAAGTAAAATAAATTTAAAAAGCACTACTTGCAATACTAAAAACAATATAAAATAGGATGCCACAATTTGCAAGAGTTTAGCACGTTCTTACTACCTGTGCTAAGGATGGATATAGGCTCACTCCTTTCACTAGAACCTCCCATATTGATGGCCTTCACAAACAGGAGGTAATTCTGCCTTGGCTCCAGATGAATCAGTGTCTCACAGTTTGGAATTCCAACAACAGATCTGGAAAAAAGGGGGAATACATGCTGAGAGTCACACTTGAAAGGAGTCATAAACTATTTGAGATCCCGAGAACCTCTGAAAGAGGTGAGAAGTAACAGAGAAAAGATACCTCCCAAATCTGTTTTATACAGAAGTGGAGACTGGAGATTAAAATGAAAGATAGAGTTAAACGGGTTTTACAAGGTATCAATGTGATTACTAGCTCACTCATAGAAGGCCCCAGGGACCTTGCATCTGATAACTTTGAGGCTTTTTTTACACCTGAAAAATCCATGTTAGTGTCTAGCCCACTGCAGTGCATTTGAAAATTGTGTTTCTCCCCGTTTATTGTGGAATCCTCCTTGGGAAAACTGCCCACTTAGGTGCATAACACATCGCATCAAGATAGGGAGTTTTTTATCCCCATTGTGAAATTGACCAAGGGTTTATGAAATTGACCAGAGGAAAGCAAAGGACCAAGGAGATGGTGGGAGGGAGATAGGACCCCCTCCCCCATCTCTGCTTCCTTTGAGCCACTGGTAAGCAGGAAATAATTAACTTCCCTTACTAACAACAGATATGAATGAATATTCTCTGTGGGTTTGCAGACAAAAAAGTGAATTAAAAAAAAAAAAGCAAGGTAGTAAACAGGGCCTGCTGTCAATAGCCAAAAACTTGAAAAAAACCTATTTGCCCATAGTTTGGTGTGTTCTTCCTGCTCACATTCTAAACACATTGGATCTGGCATGGTACTGCTGATCCCATGCCTCTTGAGCAGTGTTGTCCAAACTTGGCCACTTTAAGATGAGTGGACTTCAACTCCCAGAAT